CGAAATTAATGTCAGAAAAATCTTGAAATAACTATTGTATTTTATTTCAGGGTTTATTCCTAAATAACTTGTTAAACTGACAATTTAAACTGGCCCTTTAGGGCAGTGCTCTTAATCGTGAAATCGTAAAAAATTTCGGATATCATATACCAACGAAAATACCCATTTTGACCGCTCTCGAATCCATCTGAAAGATGTTTTTGCTTGACATCTACACGTACGGACAGAATAAAGAAATTTTTTCGTCAAAACGACTTACAAAATGGATTTAAAATGCATTCAGAAGAGATACTCAGAAACGAGTAGCAGTGAAACATTGAAATTTTGTATATAGGACTGCTACAACATGTAGTTGTGCAACCCCCTTTTTTTTTCGTTCTAATTTACCGCACCAAATGTATATATATATAGATAATTACAAAACATTTTTTAAAAATAAAATATAAACATGTCTAGTATTTTCACGCATTAAGCTGCTGAAAAATTATCATTGAAGACAATAAGTAAAAAATTTAGAACTAATTTTTCACAAAGACCAAAAATTGAAATTCATAATTAATAAATTTTTAAATAATCTTATAAATGCAACAAAAAATTTTTAAAATGCTAAAACCCAAAACTTTTTAAACAAGCAAAACCCCATTTAAAAAAATTAATGAAATTTAAAGAAAAATGAACATAACAGGAAGAGGAATTCATTCAAGTTCAATGCCACTTCGTCAAGGGGGAGGAACATTGAATCAATTGAAATCTCTATTCTTCAAAAATCCTTGCTTTTCTGTATCCAGAATTAGTCGGTAAATTGCGCGTTTTCCGCTTTAAAAAATAATCGAATTACTATGATTTAAAAATGATTGTTTACATTCGAAACTCTTAGTAGAATAGTGAATTAAGTCAGATGGTGCACCAACTTCAGTGTATTTTCTCCCTGTGGGATCAAAAGTTAACTTTCAGTTTTGAAAACCAAAAATTTTGTCATCCTGCCCCCTGACCTATCCTAATTGCTTGTTTTCGTGCAGAAACTTAGTTTGGGGGGAAAAAAAATTCTTAACTGTATTTGGTGTCCTAGGTTTTTCTGTATTTGACAGTTTTAAAAGAAGATTCTTTGAGTTTTTAAGTATTTTTGTTTTCCTGTGAAGTGAGCTGTGTTGAGTAAATGAGAAATATATCTCTAAGGAAATTCGAGGAAATATGTTTAGATGAACTGCAAAAAATGTGCATGATTTAATAGGCCGTATAAGGAAGTAATGTGGTGTCCACATCAGATTTTTTTTTAACAAAAAAAAATTCAAATAAAAGAAAGTTTTACCTAAATTTTATATTTCGTTTACTAAATATTTACCAAAAATACATGTACAATACTAACTGCAATAACGCAAAGGCAATGCTCAAAATTTGTATTTATTTTCTATCTGAAATCTAAAGATTGGTACTTGTACAGAGGCTGTTCGCACATTTTTTAGACGATTTTGGTAAGCGGTAATAAAAAATCGCTTGCTGCAAAAAAAATAATTACAATTGTAATATGTTTTTAAAAGTCAAAATTATCGTCTGTGGCTTGAAAGTTTTGTTTTTATTAAAAATGACGAATTTAACAAAGCAGTGGTTCGAAGGCTACATTTACACTCTTTCCGAAGAGAAATATGCATACTCCGTTATCCGAAAACGATGTGAGAATCATGGTTTTGTGATATCTAAAGTGTGGATAGGTAATATCATCAACAAGAAAGGAAAAAAACGTCAAATTGGAGCCTCAATTGGGACAAAAATTACAAACAAGCATCCAAGGAAAAAACGGACATCTTCGACTATTGCAAAGGTACGGTTGTTTATGTTAAAAGAAAATCCCCCTAGTCAAAGGACAGTTGCAAAATCATTAAAATGCTCGGTGTTCACTGTAAACAAAATGATAAACGTTTATTTAAATCTTAAGAAAGCGAAAAAAACGCAATGTGCATCGTCTTCTTCCAAAGCATATCGCTCAACGCAGGACACGCTGCAGAATTCTATATGAGAAACACTTATCCAAAGAAAAATGGAAAACAAATGTCACAATAGATGAAGCATGGGTGTATTTAAATGATTGTAACAAAAAAAGAGCCATTTATTATCATAAAAGGGGAGAAAAAAATTTAAGTACATGGTTCAAAGAATCGAAAGAAAGTTTTTGTAAGGGATTCATGATTGTTGCTGGTTTTTCTTATAATGACAAGTTAAAAATAAAGAGAGTGCAAAAAAATGTCAAGATTAACTCCAAATACTATGAGGAACATATTTTATCGCCAATTTTTATGAATGAAATAACCCACAGTGCCATTCATCTGTGACACTCCATCAGGACAAAGCTAGCAGTCACACATCAAAATCCACTGTAAATTTCCTAAAAGAAATGGAACAAAAAACTGATATCAAGGCCATACCCTTTGCTGATATACCTACTAAATCTCCCGATGTGTCACCTATGGATTTTTGTGCTTTCGGACTTTTAAAAACTGCATTATCCAAGCGTTGTCCCAAAACCCTAACAGGACTCTGGAAAGCTGTTTTGGAGGAATGGGATAGAATACCTCTTCTGCCACTTCAAAAGGTATTATTATCCTGGAAATTGCGGTGTCGAAAAGATAGTTCAGAATAAGGGATGTCAAATAGAACATTTAAAACACAAGAATTTTATATAATTTAGTTTTATGAATACAATATACATCGTCTAAAAATATGTGAACAGCCTCTGTAAGAAATTTTGAATGGCTACATTTTTAATGCGTTCAAAAGCAAACATTCAAATATAAGCAAGCACAAATAAACAAGATTTACAAATTGTACACTAGTTTGTCTCTGAACAGACAGTACAGACTGAATTTAATTCACTCTATATGAACTATTTGTAATTCGGTTCTGATGTAATATTTAATGACTATTCTAAATTTTATATTGTTTAGTTAATTTTATTTTTTTATTTTCTTATATTTTTATACCAAGAAAAATCCCGCGTAGTTACGGAGAGCTTTTATTTATCAAAGTACTTTTAAATACGAATGAAATTAATAGTAGCGCATAGTATTTGTATTTGTATGGATCAACTCAGTAATGTATCTTGAACAACAAAATTAAATTCAAATATTAACTCATTAAATATGACTCGAATCCACCTACAAATGTCTACAGCAGATCAACGCACACATCAAATAACACTTAATTCAAAAAATTAATAAAGCAAACTAAATTTGCTGATTGTAACAACTTGAGAAGTTCTCTTTCCTTACCCCAGTCACGTAGCCTGCCATACAAGCATACAGTGCCGAAGACAAAGCCCCACGTCATGCATTCTGTCTCTTTTTCATTCAATATCAGTCGCACACATGTCGAGCCACTCAGTGCCGTTCCAAACGGGGGTGCAGCGCATAAAAGTACGCGGGTGGCCAAAATTAGGGCGGCCGGACTCTTGCGGTACCATGCCTAAATATTTTAAATTCATTAAATTCATTGTAAGTACTTGTCATATAAAAGTACTTTTATACAATTTGTTTTGTGTAAGTATTTAGTATGGAATAAAAATTTTATTAATCACTGAGCATTTAGGGCTACAATCTTAGAAAAGTACGCGGGAAGCCAATGGCCTAGGAGCGGCCCTGGGACCACTGCTCGAAGGTAGTTTGAGACCATTGCTCTGTTTGAGACCACTGCTCTGAGGTTATCAGAAGATGGCTATCCTTGATATAAAACATAGACACAGGAGACTCCCGATTAACCGAGGTAATACCAAAGATGACGTACGTAGTTTCCCCCCAAAATCACGATTAGTCCAACAGCAATTAATAAAACACAGGAAAAGGTTAACCCATATATTTTAATTAACAGATAAATACTATTAACCCTTTTTAGAGACCGTTAGGTCTCTGAAAACCTAATGGTCTCTAAAAATGGTTACCTCCTCCGAAGACCTACCTTCCGATCGCTAACCAGACGTGTTTTCCACTTACACCACCAAATCACGTAGTAAGGAGGAAGGGGAAAACACATTCTTCCTACTTAAAGAGCAATTGAGGAGGAAGGAACTTAATCACCAAATTCTAATGGTGATGAATTACCGTTATCACCTTTTAGTTCGGAGGCCAGTCTACAGTTATTTAGAATTTATTTGAAGCCGGGAAATATGCAGAATCCGCGTTGCCATCGCCGAACTCTGGACCTCCCGATACTAGCCGGACGTTGTTTTCAATTACACCTCGAAGGCATGCGGGAGGAATAAAATACCTTACAAATTTACATGCATCTTTAAGCAGCTTAGTTTCGAGATTAAACTCATTTGGTTAAGTAAATTAAGTCAACGCTTAAAACAAAATAAACGCACTCCAAACAGAAAACACAATGTTTTTGTTTGTAGTACGTTTTTTGCAATTCTGTAGGAGTCTAGTGAGAGAACGAAGATTTAATGGCTGTGCACTTAATTTAGTTTCAGGATTTTGTAATTTATTTATAACGGATAATTTAACAATACTTATATATTCCAAATTATATACAATTAAATTACTTGAGGATAAAAACAGTACCTAAATACTGTAACGTCATCTGCTATTACTACTGTTATCCCCATCCATTTTTTTTTTTTTTTTCTGCTTTCTGTATTTCCGGCAAAATTTTGCTTTATTTTGGTGATTTGCAGTAACAATTTTTCTATCGTTTTCAATAAACAAAATTATATTTTAGATCGGACCGCTTTAATCCATCCCCCGGTAACCGAGAGTTAACTATAAATAGTTAAAGGCTTAAACTAATTTATCGTTTTAAAAAGAGTACACGAAAAATGTTTGAAAATGCTATAATCAAAATAACGTGCGCATCCTCAATTAGTTTGTACTAAGCGAAACCATAAATACTTATTATCCCCGGATCTCTTTTCTCTGATAAAGCGGAAAAAGACTAAGAGCCCCAACCTTCGTAAACAAGTACATTTCCTTCAGCTACCAACAGAGGTCGCTGTTACTTTTAAAATACAGCGAATGTGTGTTCAAAGGTAGTGGCGGACGAATTGAGCTTCTAGCTTGTTGTGCTTCAAGAGTAAACGTTTTGTTTAGAAGAACGTAACTTTTGAGTTTTCCGTATTTTAAAATTAAACTTGTATGTGCAAATAATTATTTATGAACGTTTTAATTTGTGTGATTGGGAATAACTAACATTGCCAAGTTTTTAGAGCACTGTAAGTAAAAAGAGTACTTTTTCTTTTGCCGGTACTTTTGTTTCTTTTTTCCGGTTATGTGTACTTGCCTCTTTTCTTACTTTCTTTTTCGTAAAAAATAAATAGAATAACCTAATTTAGTGAGCATTGATTCGTAAAGGATTTGTAATACAAATGTTTCGCTTTCGGTGCAGTTCATTATTTAAAATAGACAAATTATTTTCTGATATTAACGTTATTAGGAGAAATTTTAATATTAATTGGTTCCATGGAAGAATTTCTTATTTCAAAAATAAATATTTCTTCGACAGAGTTTGTAATGGATTGAAAAATAACAAGAATAAGTTATTAATTATATTTTTTAAGTCGTAGTTTTGCAAAAGAGGTAACTGAACTAACAAACAGAAATTTTTATATTAATAAAAACCCTATCATAAGATTTTCTTAGTTTCTTTCTTAATGAAAAAATCAGTGTTATTTCTAGATAACTTCCCAGTTATGTTTAGTTTCTAAAAACTGGGTCAAGCGTGTTCTAATTCTACTGTTCAACACATTATCTGTGACTGACTCAAGCTGTTCGGTGGTTTTAAAAGAAATTCAAAACGAGTTCTAACACAGAAACACTTTTTATCCGCCGTGAGGTTAAATTGCATGCATCAAGTGTTGAATTTATTTAATTATAACTGTAGGTAATTTTCAAAATATGTAGAGATACGGATATATGTACCCATTATTTCCCAGTTTTCTTATTCTTCATGCAACTGACTGGCAATTATTTTAATCGCATATTAAAGCTAGAAAAATTTTATTTTTAATATATTCATCATCGTAATATGAAACTGAGGTCGATAATGCTATGAATATTTCAGTATGCAAATGCTAACAGGTATTTCAGCTGTGAGGGGATAATTTGTCGTAGATAAAGAAATAAAATTCTTATTACTTATTTATATAAATAATTTATTTTTGTGGAGGCTGAAAGCATTTTATTTTGTGTATGTAACCGTCAGGACAGATGCAGTCTTTAGGTGGCAGAGTGATGACAGAATTTAGTATCCGTACACCAAGCGGCGAAAAGGAAAGCGCCGGCTCTAATTGCAGACGGCTATAGTTTTTAAATATCATTTGAATTAGTAATACTTCTTTCTAATTGTTTATTATTGTATTTTAATTGAAACATATCTCTGACTCTTTTCTTATTGGCATCTACGTAGAATTGAATGATTTATTGACGCGCATTCTCAATTGATTAATGAGTAATCTTCATATCAATGAATTCTGATTGCTAGCGTAATTTATAAAAAATAAATCCTACGCATCATGAGATGATTTCTTGTTTACAAAAAGAGGCTAGGAAAATGTTTTCTCAGATTAACTATGTGCCAGTAATTAATAGTGTTGTAGAGTCATTAGGTGCTTTTGAAGCAGAAATATATAAAAAATTAGCAGTGCCCTCACCGAGGCTCAAACCTGGACCTCCCGAATACGCGCCGAGTGTGCTACAATTACATCACGAAAGCGTGCAGAAAGGAGGGAATAAATGCCGTATATACCCTCTTTTTAAAGGGCGACAGTCGATTTAGGGATCTAATCGCCAAATTCTGGTGCTGACGCATTATTGTCAACCACCTTTTAGTTCGAGAGCCACTGTACAGTCATTAGTTTCCTTTTTTAAGCAGAAGTACATGAAAAATGAGCAGTGCCTTCGCCGGGACTCGAACCTGAACCTCTCGAATGTATTTTTCAAAATGAGTGTATTTTCAAGCAATTTATATTTGAATTATATATTTTTTATTATATTACAAGAAGAAGATATGTTAAACAAGAAATTTATATTATAATATTTTCAGTAAAGTGTCATGATATAAAAGAAAAAGGATAAAAAATATTAATTTTATGTTTCGTAAAAGTGATTACTAATTCTTCACTATGGCACTGAGCTATGTGAATCAGAATATTTAAATACTGTTCTAATCATATAACTAAGCAATGCTTTGTACATATTTTTTATTTTTCTGATTAACGTTTGTTGTCACGAATCTCTTTTTCTAGCGAAAAATTTCTCAGTATCCGATTTTTAAGCACCGGATCTAGCTTGTGTACTTATACTTTCATCATTTGAAGTGTGCATGGTCATCAGTTCTTGGTATTTGGAACGAAGATTTGCTTGTACTCTACGTTTCAAAATGTAAAAATATAGATTAACATTCATAGGTTTAGCTCTAACTTCTGTTAGGAAATCATGGTTGTATTAAGGAATTGTATTGATTAGTAATTCACTTGGTACCTCTTGTTACTTCATCATCTTAACAAGAGGTTGTCTGCTACCTTTTGCTTAGGATGGTGAAGTAATTTTTCATCATCTTACATGTTTTTCAAAAAAAATCTGGATACTATTACTATTTTACGTTCAAAAGCAATATATTTTTACTCTAAATATTAGAAAGTTTTGTTTTTAAAAAGTTTGACATAATTTATATATGGCATTGGTATATACTAACACAAGAATATTAGCTCAAGTGGGCTATAGCCCAGAAAGGCTATTAGTTTCGTAATGGCATTTTGCGTCGAATCATTATAAACACCGCGAAGATATAAAGATATGACTTAAATTGTTGCCACCAAATATTATCGCCTTGCATTATATTTAAAGAAATTAAGTATGCATGTTTGTATGTAAGAAATTAAGTATGCATGTTTGTATGTAAGAAATTAAGTATGCATTATATTTAAAGAAATTAAGTATGCATGTGAAAAAACAACGGTACCTAGAGCCATCGAATTTTGAATAACGACGTCCTCCACCCGAACATGGGCGCCTGGGAGCCTGAATTTTTTATTTCGAATACGTTTTACTATCTGTTTCATTTTTATAAAACTTTTAGCGAATTTTTGAATAACTCAACCATTTCAAAGCGAGCAGGGGCAACACTGTAGGTAATAAAACACTTTTATCTCCAGCGCACCAGACTGTCTGTCAGTGATTCTAAAGATATGCTGTTTTTAAATATTTTAGTTCAAAAGGGCATTAGCCTAAATGCTCACGAAACGGCTTTGGAAAAGTATATGTATGTGTAAATAAATTTAAAAAAAAAAATGCCCCTTAGGGCGTATTTTTCATTTACTTTCAGATTTTTTCCTCTTTTTTCAGTTGTATGTATACTAAAGTAAACATTATTTGCAGGATAAATATTATAATTAGTTTTGAAAGTGAGTTTTATTAATTACGCAGCAGCCTTTCTTTTTCGGTTGGAGTATTCGGAAGACTTCAATGTTTATAACCCTAAATATTAAATCCGGATTTCGTTCCAAAAGTCTTCATTATTATAAGATAAATTAGAAATTTGAATAAATTTCGATATTTGTTTTTATATGATTTGATGAGTCATAAAATTTTGCTGTATTATATCTAAATCGGTGTGAATGAGACTAAATCGGTGTGAGAACCCGACTTGAGACTAAATCAGTGTGAATGAGAGACATCAAATGATGACAGTGTGATATAAAGCGTTTTGGAATCCATCCTTGAAATGACTTTTGACATCGTTAGCGGCTGGCAGACAACTCTCAAAGAAATGCAAATGAGTCATTCATAATATAACTGGAGGGTTTTCCAGGATGTAGTACAAATGGTCTAGCCTTTCCGGTTTTCTACTGCATAATCTTCGCCTCGGTATGAACATTTATCTTCGTGGTGTGTTGCTGTTTTGAATTATTTTACTTGCAGTGTAGTTAATGTAATACAGTTCAGCTGATGCGCGTTATTCAGGCAAATGAAAATTTTTTATGGGGTTCCAGAGACGGTCTCAAGTGTAGCAACGCAAAATATTAAAACGTTTATGATGCTATAATTAATATATTAAAATTGCTAATATTAAGTTTGTTAACATTAAAAAATTAAAACATATTTTTGTAATATTTTGTTTTATAACATATTAAATTTGGTAGCATATTATATTTTATAACTTAAACATTTATGTATTAAATTTTCTAGCATATTTTGTTTTATAACGTAAATCATTTTTCTCAAGGTTTTTTTCTTGAGACTAACTATAGAAACTTAATCCCTAAATTGGTACGGATTAAAAACTTCTACCTGATGATTTTCGATGGGTTATTAGTCGTCCGAGGTCATATTTTAATTGATGGTATATTGTGAAATTACTAAAATTAGCTTGTGAACAAAATTATTGCACCTAAATCAACAGTGTATCATCATTCTTGGTTCTCTGTTTTAAAGAACAGATAGCTTTTTCGGTAACCTCCCAAAGTATTGTACAGTGAAAATTGTTTTCTGCTTCAGCTATGTTTTCGCCGTTGCAGAATTTCACTGACTGAGCTTTTAGTCACCAGGAATTATTAAACCTGATAAATGAGGATTAAATTTGAATTTCGACAATAAAGATACGTTATGTTGGGATATCCAGTTTAGACAGTTTAATTAAAATTAATTGTATACTTTGGACAGCTGCTTGTACCCTCCTCAAGCTAGGGTTGGTGTATTTAATTATGGCAAAGCACACGAGGGCTATCTGCCTAAGGGGAGGGATGCCTTCGTGGAGGACTTTCTAAGGGAAACTGGCTCGTATACACGTTACACATGGGAAAACCGCGAAAACACCCATGCAGCCAGCCCGTTCGCGGGATTCGAACCTCGAATGCTCTCGATGACTTTACGTGTCTTTGAATGCAACCCTAACTAGGCTGCACAGCTAAGACATTAATATATCTCTCGATATATATATAAATAAGCAAGATGAAAATTATTATTCAACGCAACATGTTATGATAATTAAGTTGTTCTCACGTAATTAAGCTTAACAGAAGAATGCAACAGATTTTTTGAAAACAATAAAAGTGCAAGAGTGCGTAAAGGAGGACTACACAATCAACTTTGAAACCTTCCTTTCGTGCTTTATATGCCGAAAACGCCATAACTCAGAGACTCGAGAAAATTGAATGGAAAACGTAAACTTAAATGCAATTGGTAAATTCATTGTACTCTGATTTGTGCAGAAAAG